AAAAAAAAGCAAGTGCACATTGAAGAAGGAGAAAAACCAAAGACGGAGAAATGCATATGTGTATGTGTACCCTAAATCTATGTACTGAAAGAACTTAGAAGCAATGACATCCCAATAGCATGAAAACACCTAGTAATCAGATCTTGGTTTTTAAAAATCATTCTCTTCTATAAAGAACTAGGACTACTTGGAAAAATTACTGACTCCAGGGAATGTACAAGATGACTTTGGATCATCTATGCAAGAAAGCAAAGAAGTGCCCAAAGACGAGGGCATATCAAACATATGCTGAAACCATCTTGAAATGTTTCCTACTGTCAAGTTTGGGCCAATATGAACATCAAAATAAACAATGACATTCCTAGAGTATAACTCTTTGAATGAAATAATTCTTGAGTTTATATTGGTATAAATACATAAATAAATAAGGGAAGAGGGACAACTCTTCCATTTGATAGAATGTCAATTAATAAATATATAATAGAGAGGGACTCCCTGGTGGTGCAAGGGGTTGGGATGCAACCTGTGAAGCTATCACAGCCTGCAGCGCGAGTTCAATCCCAGCCAGGGATCTACCCACATGACTCAGCAAATCTCTCCTGACTCGCGCACTGCTCCCCTCAGCAGTGCATTTCAGTCAATCTGCCTGTTCTGTTCCCCACTCTGTCTCTGGTGAACTCTCTCACCCCCACACCTCTCGCCTGTACCCCAGTTCTTGTATGCATAAATAAATCTTTTTTAAAAAATAAATAAATACATAATTGAAGTAGTGGTAAAATTAGAAAACCACTGTGTGACAACCATCAGAGTGATAATTAAAGCAAGTGTCATCAGTGGATACTAAAACTAGTGGATGCAAGTTTGATGACTAACAGGATCTTTATATATTCTCAAAATGTTTCCTCACAAAATACAAATTAATTACAAAGAAAAAAAATAATAACTTTACAGTGGATATAACTGAAATGCACCATCTTAATCAAGTGATCAGAGATATTATCACTAGGAATGAAATATGTTGCATCGTGCAACACCACACTGATAAAGAAACAGGAGTCCTGGAGCTGGCCACATAATGCAGGATGCTGCTGAAGAGCAAAAGCCTGGCCTTTTTATTGACAGAATAATTATACAGCATCAGTTGTGAGAGGAAGGAGGACAAAGAGAAAAGGGAGTGGGTGAATTTAGAAAACTGTGCTGTGTTGATAGTAGCAGGGTTGTGAGTCTGCACTCCAGGCACTTCTAATTTGCTTGATGACTTGGCATTGTAATTGAGATCAAGCTCTAGATATCCAGCCATGGTTTCAAATCTTATCAACAAGGCTTTCCACTGATCAGCTTCTAGGGTCCCTTTTCACACATAGGTTATAAGCCCCCTGGGCATTCCAGGTCTAACCTGTGATGCACAGCCTTCCCAGAGTGCTCAAGCTTTAAGCTCTTGGTTAATTTGAAAGGCACTGTAGGGTAAATAGTTTGGTAAGTGGTTTTCTGGCTTTTCTGCCCTCCCACCACTAGGATTGCCCTGGCTGATGCGGTACCTACAGTTGTTACATTGTTGCAAACTGTCTTACTTCTGTGGGCTGTGGGAGGAGTATTGAGATCCTCACCAAGAGAAGCAGAAGCAGTAGCAGTAACAGTAGGGAAGCAGAAGCAGCAGGAGAGAGAAGGGGCATAAGAAGCCAGAGAAGCCCAGAGTGAAGACTTGGGGTGGGGGCGGGGGGGGGGTGTGTGGTTACGTGCACTGAGCAGGTTATGTATGATCCAGCAGATGCGTAAAGGAGAGTCTTGGAGACCTCAGTGGCTTTCTCAGGCTTTTATTGAGCTGCTACATATAGAACAGCAACCAGGTACACGGCAAGTAGGGGTACCAGGGGGCCGGGGGGCCAGGAGGCAGGCAGGCCTCCAAGCCCCTGGCAAGTCTTCACTCTGGGCTTCCCTCTCTCTCTTCTCGCTCTCTTTCTCCTGCCTCTGCTTCTGCTTCTCTTGGTGACGATCTCATTACCCTTCCCATGGCCCACAGAAGTAAATAAGACAGTTTGCAATAATGTAACAACTGCAGATGCCCCATCAGGCAGGGCAATCCTAATGGTGGGAGGGCAAAAGAGCCTGAAAAACCATTTTCCCTACATGCCCCTACAGGTATCTTGCAAAGTTTGCCTCTGACTGATTGACCAGGCAGTTCTGACCTAGTATAGGAATGCAGAACTGCAGGTAATAAAATGGTGGCTGCACAGGTCACTTAGGATTAGCAGACCCACAAAATACATAAATATCATGGGCTTTCCCTGGATGGCCTTTCCTGAGGCTTCAGAGTTGAGATGGAGGAGGGTAGGACAGAAAAGGGCTAAAAAGGAAAAACAAAGAAGAGAGAGAGAAGAGAGAAAGAGAGAGAGAGAGAAAGGGGAGGAAGGGAGGGAAGGAGGGAAGGGAAGGAAGGAAGGATCCTATTAAATAAGGATGAGCTAAACACAACTGAATCCCAAGAGACCCATACACAGTATGGGAGGGAGGGAGGGAGGCAGGCACCTGACACTTCATAAATGCTTAGTATAGGCAGCTTGGTGAGCTTAGGATTTAACTCAAGATGAATCATAAAGTATCTCTGCTTTAGTATATATTTTTAAAATGTCATGTAGATCTGGAAGAGGCAGCACATTGAATCTGTAAATGACTTTATGGGATATGGCCACTTCATAAGCTCAGATAAAAGTGGTAATAAAGTATCACTTTTAACATTCAAACAGTAGGAATCTATATAAGATCATGTTTGAAATAAAGTAAGCAAAGTAAGTCATGATCTAGTTCAACTTCTTCAGTTCACACTTTGAGAAATTGAATCACAGAGAGGCAAGGTGACTATAGACTTGCCCAAGTCACACATTTATAAACAAAGTTGGGGCAAGGAAAGTGGGGGTAGGAACAAAGTGGGGGAGTAGGGCTAATGATGTAGGGTAAAGCACTATGGGTGCTTTAATGGTGCATGTGGTGTGGTGACATACATCTGAGGAGGTATAAGCCTATTCCCCTAAGTCACATAAATTGTTGTAAACCAGTGGTGCCTCAATAAAAAATAAATAAAATAAACAAAGTTGGAACTGTTAAATATGCAGTTAATCCACAAAAAATGTTAACAATAAACAGCACTAGAAAAAAATGTGCACCATCTCTAATAAAGAAAAACAAAATTGAAGTTCCACAAGACACATGTTAAATTAGTAAAAATGAATAAGACAGACAAACACAATGCTCACAGGACTATGAAAAAATATATTTCTACATTGGACACTTACAATCAACAAGTATAATCTTTCCAGACAGAAATTTAGCAATAGCTGACAAGAAACATAAAAATGATTACACTCTCAACCTGAGCAATAATACATTTGGGAATACATCTCAAAGAGATGATTCAAAAGAGAGGAGAACAGATTTGAACAGAAATGATTATAGCCAGACACTATGGTATAGTCAGAATCTAAAAACAATCCACATGCTCCCCTGTGGGACAAAGGCTAACTAGAAACAGGCCAAAGTGGAGCAACACAATATTATTACATTGCCACAGGGAATCTCAACAAGAGGATCTTGTAGAAATGTGGTTAGAACCCTATTAAATAAGGATGAGCTAAAGACAATTGAATCCCAAGAGACCCATACACAATACTGACAGCTAATATGTATGTCGCTGAACAATGTGTATGTAGGTGCCAAAACAAAAAGTAAAAATGGCAGATGTAAATACAAATATATCAGTAATATTAAATGTGAATGTATAAAACAATCCAATCAACAGAGATTGTAGACTAGATTGAAAAACCAAGATCCAACTATGTTTACTGTAGGAATCACTCTTTGTATTCATATATACAAATAAATTGAAAGTAAAGAATATAACAAGATTTATCATGCAAACAGTAATCACAACAATTGGAATGGCTATCATGATAGTATACATAATAGACTTTATTTTTTTTAATATTTATTTATGTATACAAGAACTTGGGTACAGGCCAGAGGTATAGTGGGTAAGAGGATTCACCAGAGACAGAGTGGGGAGCAGAACAGGCAGATTGAAACACACTGCTGAGGCTAGCAAGGGGCAAGTCAGGAGAGGTCTGCTGAGCCTTGTGGGTAGCTCCCTGGCCGGGGATAAAATTCGTGCTGCAATGGCTGCGGATAGCTTCATAGGTTGCGTCTTAAGCCCTTGTGCCACCAGGGAGGCCCCACACAATGACTTTAAAACAAAGAAAGGTTACTACAAAGAAAAATATTTTATAATGATTAAAAGATCAGACTTTTGATTAAAAGTATCAGACTTCAAAAGAGAAAAATTTTACTAGAGACAAAGGATATTTTATAATAAGAGATTCATACATTAAGAAGATACAATTGTATGGGGAATATAAAAATAAAATCTATTATTTAAAAAAAAAATACAGGGCCTCCCCGGTGGCGCAGCGGTTGAGCGCTGGGTTGTGAAGCTGCCCGCAGACTCTGCGGTGCTGGTTCGATCCCCCGCTGCTCCCCGGCCACCGGAGGAGGGTCCCACGTGGCGCGCAGACCTCTCCTGCCGCCCGCTGCTCCCCTCAGCAGTGTACTTCGGTCCTTCTGCCTGCTCTGCACCCCGCTCTGGCTCTGGTGAATTCTCTCACCCTCCCGCGCTTCTGACTGTACCCAGTGCATGTATAAACAAAACAAACAAATAAACAAATAAATAAATAACATGCCTCTATAAAAAAAATAAATAAATAAATAAATAAATCTTTTTAAAAAAAATAAATAAATAAATAAATAAAAAAAAATACAAACTGGCTTTTGTTGTCATGTTTAAAAAAATAAATAAATAAAAGAAGATACAATTACAAACATATGCATCTTAGACCACCAAAATACATAAAGTAAAAACTGACTGAAATGACAGGAGAAGCATACAACTCAACAACAAATTTGGAGAATCCAATACCCTAATTTCAATAACGGATAAAAAAATTATGCTGATGGTGCTCACTTCAGCACCACATATACTAAAATGGGAGTGATTCAGAGATTAGCATGGCCCCTGCACAAGGATAATACACAAATTCATGAAGCGTTCCATATTTTTCATACAAAAATGAAAAACAATGTAAGAAAACAAAATAAATTATGCAGATGATCAACAAGGAAAAAGAAGACTTGAAAAACACTATAAGGCAATTAGACCTAACAGAGCACTATAAAACACTCTACCAAACATTAAAAGTATACTCTTCTCAAGGGAACATTTTCCAGGATAGTCCATATGTTAGTACACATACCTCAATGCATTTAAAAGAATAGAAATAATTTATTATCTTCTTTTATGGAGGATAATAGTTTGGATATTTTCAAGGAAAAACAACTAAATTGATAAAATATTTTATTTATTATATTTATTTTATATTGTTCTTATTTTTTTTAAAGATTGATTGATTTATACAAGAACTGGGATACAGGCCAGATATGCGGGAGAATGAGAGGATTCACCAGAGACAGCAGGGAACAGATCAGGCAGACTGACCAAAATACACTGCCGAGGGGAGCAGCGGGCGAGACAGGCAAGGTCTGCCGCACAATGTGGGTATCTCCCCAGCCGGCTGGGCTGGAACCCTCACTACAGGGGGTGCAGACAGCTTCACAGTACAGCACTCAACCGCCTGAGCCACCAGGAAGGCCCTATATTTTTCATTTTATATAATGTTCGATTGCTCCCCCAGATATAATCCCTGTAAATGTCCCACCACCAAATCACCCGTGAACCATCACCATAGTCTCTTGTGCTCTTCCTTCCCCTGTTTTGACCCCTCTCTTTGCCCCTCCCCTGCTCATTTATTCTTTGCCTGCTAGTTTTGTCTTTTTTCCTGACCCCTTGTTCAGTGCCAAGGACCAGCACAGCAGTAGACGATGAGGCCACCACAGGGTTGAGAGAAGCGTGCAGGGTGGTCAGGGCGTCGGTGAAAGAAATGACAAACAGACACACTTCAAGAGTGAAAATCTGAGTGTAATTTTCTTTGAGTTTGTGACCAGTATATATATGTTTTCCAAAAGCACAGGAACAATGAATATCAATGAAATCAGCTTGCTCATGGGCTCAGCCTATCACCATCAGGGTGGTGATCTACATAACAAGCAATGACCTTTATAGAAGAAAGAAGGAAGTTTAGAAAGACAATAAGGGATTAAAGTTTGTAGTTCTAGAAAGACGGGATAAGATTTTTAGCATTCTTGTAGTGGTTCCTGATGGTCGTTATCTTTTCATAAGCTTCTGTCTTTTCAGGGAACTTCCACTGTACTTCCTCTGCTTCAGGGTGTTTTGCTGTTCTCCCCCTGCGTGCTGGTTGCCCAGCCCGGACCTAGGGACCGTGGCGAAAGCCATTCCTAAAGGTCACTGCAGGGGGAGGTGCAGCAGGTATGTCTTCAGAGGGTTTTGCTGTTCTCCCCCTGCGTGCTGGTTGCCCAGCCGGACCTAGGGACGGTTAGCCCTAAAGGTCACTGCAGGGGGAGGTGCAGCAGGTCCCCCTTTGTTTTTAGAACGGAGCTGGAAGGCGTACATATGTCGTTGAAGATGATGAATGGACCTGTGAAGTAAGCGGACACAGAGGGGAAGGAGTAAACAAAGGAGCAGGACGAGTAGGGAAAGAACAATAAAGGAGAGAACAAGATGATACCAGTGAGTAGGAGTCAAAGATTGGAGAGTGGAAGCTAGAGAATGAGCAAAGGAAGAGAGTGAAGTGTGCAGATGAGACTTACTGATAGCAGAAATTTCAGCTTGGAGAGACGAAAGGTCATGAGAAAGGTCATTGTCTTGCCAGATGCCCAATAGGTGATGTTTGGTAAGATTCCAATGTAAGGAAGAGTTATAATGTAAAGGCGTAACACAAATGAAACGAAACTGAACATGGCAACGAGTAGACAGTTGTTGTTTGAGAAGTTGAACCTCATTGCCAATAGCAATAACAATTTCTTCCAGAGCATTTAACTTTTTTTTCTAACTTATAATCAATGTCCCGCTGTATTGCGAGCGCCATGGACACGTTTTTGGTAAGGTCATTTACAAAAGAAGCTGTCTTAGCTTCCTGAATTAAAGCAACAAAGGAAGCAGCTAAAGAGATAACTAAGGAAATCAGAGCGGCAATGCCTAGAATAAGGGTAGCAATAAAACGTTTGGGACGAAGAAGAGCATGTACTTCATCTAAAACTTGCATGGCAGTATTATCATACCAAGGCATATTATGTAAATCAACAGGTAACATAACATAGGAGGGTCTTTTGAGCAAAACCACCACAGGATATAGACGAACAAGAGAGGGGGTGATACAATTAGTAACAATGCAACTGGAACAATGAATGGAGTAAGAAGTCCCATGCGATTGAATGCGTGTAGCTGAGGCATTCCCCAGAAGTAGAGCGAAGGGGTATCCAACATAGGCACGCACTGGGATCTTAGCGGTGTCCTGTCCAGGTTGTTTGAATTGTACATCATCAAAGGCAGTGAAAAGACGAAAGAGTTCAGGCTTTATGACAGAGCTTTCTGTTCAGGGAACCGGGTTATTCAGTCCTGCCAATGGAGGCAAGCTTTCTCATCATTTTCAGAGGTGTCTGGAACCCTACGAACAAAGCAGCAGTTTCTCCACATTTTAGTTTAGCTCTATGTCAGCTCCCTGGAAGAATTGTACTGAAAGCCACACAAAAGGTTAGCTCTGCTAGAAAAAGAAAAAAAAAAAAATATATATATATATATATATATATATATATATATATATATATATAACATTGCTGTAGAGTGTGGTCAGTCAAAACAAGAAAACTTTGTTGAATCAAGGCAAAATGTAAAAACATTTTCAATGTTATGCCAAACAAAACAGTAAAAATCAGGTGTATCAACAGTTTATACAGTTTTTTGTAGAAAAATTTTTTACTCTCAAAATTTTATTATTTTGAATCAATTGAGGCCTTTTTCTTTTCTTATTTTGTGTAGAAACAAGTCCTGCAGACATTAAACCATTGAAGTATATAATATTGCAAGGCAACAATAATCATTGACAATTTACATACATCAGGTATTGAAAGATTTTGTTTTAGAAAACCAATGTTAACATTTTTGTACATATTAGAGTTTTACCATTTTTTCAAGTGACAGTGATTTCCTTGTAGTGTAACTTTACCAGGTAAACCAGATAGGATAAATTTATCTAATGTCCTTCCCAGGAGGAAAAGGAGAAAGTTTGTGGAGTATCTCTAAAGCTCTGCTGAGGTTCCACAAAATTTCCTTTAATTGATTAAATGACAGGCTACCAAATTTTATTTTAATTTAGATTTTTGGGAAGCTATGTCATAAATACTTAGAAAACAGCAAAAACAACCATATTTAATTTTTATAAAAATTCTAGCCCTGAGTATAATATTGACAATCAAATCATAACCTTTAATTGTCATCTCAAAAATCTTAGTTTTTCAGACACTAAAAGACATTATGTACCCAAAATCATTAACCTAGACAAGGGCCAAGATTATACCCAATGTTAGTGTATAAGTACATGTTTTGAAACAACCCATTAAATTAAAACTCAGTTATTATTAACCAAAAATTATTTTAGCTAATGTGTTCCCAAAATACTAAAATAATATAAATCATTTGAGTATACAAAATTTGTTTTTTGTAAAATTTCTTTGAGATTTTTAACACTTTCCTTAGCCTTGTTACTTTTTTTTTTTTAATATTAAATTTTATTTTTATATTCCCCCATACAATTGCAAACGCCCCATTCTGACCCCAATACTTCCCCTCCCGCCCCCCACCCCCCAAAAAGTGTCTCTGGTTCATAGTTTTTTGTTGATTTTGATTTTCACTTTCTTATATTCATTTTCCTGGTCCCTTATTTAAGTTTTCTAGATTCCTGCTATGAGTGAGACCATCCGGTATTTTTCTTTTTCTTTTTGGCTTATTTCGCTGAGCATGATCCCTTCCAGTGCCATCCATGTTGCTGCAAATTGCATGTGTTTATCTTTTTTGAATGCTGAGTAATATTCCATGGTATATATGTACCACATCTTCTTGATCCAGTCATCTATTTTTGGGCATTTGGGTTGTTTCCAAAGCTTAGCTATTGTAAACAGTGCTGCTATAAACATAGGAGTGCAGGTGCTCTTTGGAATTGATGTTTCTGTGTCCTTTGGGTAAATACCTAGGAGTGGAATTGCTGGATCATATGGAAGCTCTATGTTTAGTAGGTCCAGAAATATCCACACAGCTCTCCATAATGGTTGGACCAGTTTGCACTCCCACCAAAAGTGCAGAAGAGTTCCTTTTTCTCCACACCCTTGCCAACATTTGTTGTTGCTAGTTTTTTTAATATGTGCCATTCTCACTGGTGTGAGATGGTATCTCATGGTAGTTTTGATTTGCATTTCCCTGATTACAAGTGATGTTGAACATTTTTTCATATGTCTGTTGGCCATTTGCATTTCCTCTTCAGAGAAGTTTCTTTTTAGCTCTTCTGCCCATTTTTTGACTGGATTATTTTCTTTGTTGTTGCTGAGTCTCATCAGCTCTTTGCAGATTTTTGTGATCAGTCCTTTATCATTAGTGTTGGGTGCAAAAATGTTCTCCCAGTTGGTGGGGTTTCTCTTTGTTTTTGTTATTGTCTCTTTTGCTGTGCAGAAGCTCTTTAATTTGATGTAGTCCCAGCTGTTTATCTTTCTCTTCACTATCACTGCTTTGGGTGATGTGTCTGTAAAGATGTCTTTGATGTGCAAATCCCGTAGTGTTTCGCCTATATTTCCTTCTATGTATTTTATGGTTTCAGGTCTTATGTCTAGTTCTTTAATCCATTTTGAGTTGATTTTTGTGTATGGTGTGAGGTAGTGGTCAAGCTTCATTCTTTTGCATGTAGCGACCCAGTTTTCCCAGCACCATTTATTGAACAAACTTTCTTTGCTCCAATGCATAGTCTTTGCTCCTTTGTCAAAGATTAGTTGACCATAAATCTGTGGGTTTATTTCTGGATTTTCTATTCGATTCCATTGGTCTGTATGTCTGTTCTTGTTCCAATACCATGCAGTTTTGATGATTATGGCTTTGTAGTA